CGTGGACCTGCTTCCAAAACAACATTCAGCTTCTTTACTTACCGGCACACTCATCACACGTGCTTCAGCCGCTTGATTTGACGGTTTTCTCGGTCCTGGAGCGGGCATACCGGAAGAGGTTTAACTCCCTACCCCGGTGCTCCTATTCAACGGTCTCCGGTCGGCGCACTATGTTGATCTGTTACCGGGCTGCCCGGGAAGAAGCATTCAAGAAAGAAAACTGCAAGGCAGGATGGTATGCTACCGGCTTGTAGCCGGTAAATAAGCTCAAGCCACTCACGAGCCCTCAAGTGCTAGAAAATAGCAACAAAGCCGGTAAAAGTACGGCTATAGCTACTCTCGAGGAAGAGAGGGATACGGCTCATCAGCAACAACAGTTGCTTAACGGTTACGGCACTTGGAAGACTCCTAATAAGGTTACGGACCTTACGATTGCTTTGGCCAAAATAAACATCAGCTCCCCGGCCCGCAGGGCACGTCATCGGCTATTCAGGAAGGTCAGAAAGGCATTCACCCTCAGAGACTTTGAGCTGGCTAAGCTCAGGCACGAAAATGAGGCTCTGAAAGCTGAGCTTGAGAACAAAAAGGGAACCAAGAGGAAGAAGGTGGAATTGAGCCCAAATTCGAAGTTTGCCTCGATAAAAGACATTCGGCGCGCGCAGAGGGCAGTAGGGCGCGAAAGTGACAGCTCTGACGAATCAGAGGGCTCGGAAGAAGAAGAAGAAGTCGAAAGTTGTATAGTAATTAGTTGATTTGGCGATATTTTACATGCTTCAATGTAGGGTGTCATTCATGAGTCGGCGGCTCAGCACGGACCAAAAGTGGGCTGGGCCAAAATAGGCATGGTCAACTTAGCGGTCGAACTTTCCTTAACCTCATCACGTCTGCCTCCTGTGACGTAAATTTTCAAACTTGGTTATCCGGCCGCTATGCCCTAAAAAATCTTTTTGGTGTGGGTATTATCGCAGTCGTCTACGTCTTTATGGCATGAACGATGCGTGTCGAGGTCAATCCCACCACCAAGTCTGTCTTGAAAGCACAGTAATCCCAGAACATGGCGCTAGATGAACTACGCTGAGCAAAGAACAACGCAGTCTATAAGTGAAAAGAATGGCTCATTTCTTCTGGAGCCTCGACTATAAATATAAGTCCAGCCAGTCGGCCCTGGGCATGGCGTTTTAAAGGCATTATTAACTGTAGGTTCATATTTGCGATTATAGTTTCGGCATCTAGCTGAACATTTGGAATCCCTTAATCGAACCAAATCATCGACGACCTAGTCGTAATTAGGCCGTCGTTTGGTACGCTTCATATACGCTGGGCGAAAACTTTGATCCTGCATGGCGGTGGTAAAGTTCGTGGGCCGGCCGGTATAAATTTGTCGGTGATGTTTAACTGCTTGACTTTCTGCTGTGCCGCGGCAAATGCCTGTGTTAACATTTAATATATACGTTGGTGATGGGTATAAGTCATTTCACTTTGTAATAAAGCTAACTATGGAAGTCCCTCCTTAAAGCAGTAAAGCCGACGAAATATAATTTAAGTCCAGCCAGCTCTCTCCTTTCTGTACTCTCCTGTCAGGACACGGAACTAGCCAACCAGCTAAAGACAATTAAAGCCCATCAAGAAACACACGAAGGTCAGTATAGACGATTATAACATCGTAGAGACATTGGGTTCACATCTAACAAGAACTAGTCAGCACTTGCTCCATCCCCATCAAGGCCATCCCTTGTCTCTAACATCAACATCCGCGCCCCCAGCCTTCGCCTGACAAGCCAAAACAATAACACCAATAAAATGGCACAAGAGAATATTACCCCTCAGCAAAAAGCTGCCGGAGAGCCCATTAGTCATCTCAGAGACGGTCGTCTTTGCACTTGTAAATACTGTCGCAGGGAATCACCACCGATCTGTACCCCAGAGGACTGCAAATGCACCTGCTGCTGTGGTCAACACCCAGAAACCTAGATGCGAGTCTCCATACGCGGAGGACCCTGGGCATAACAGGGCGGCTACGCCGAGGTTTTCGAGGCCCAATCTTCCTCCTATGAGACCCTAGGACTTACCCTTGGGGGTTCCCAAGGTTTGAGTCGTCCCGTCTCGCCGTGGCACAGGTATAAGCTGCGTCACTATCTCACCCCCCCGTGGTTCACGGGAAGCCTTCTCTACGATTGGCTTGACGTACAAGCCTTAGGGCACCACAACATGGATTCCCTTCTGGTGGGGGGTGTGAGAGCTGCAAGCATGTCATACTCCCTTTGGTGGGTGTGAGAGTTCCAAGCCTGTCAGGTGCCGAGATAAGATGGCTAGCGTTCGAGAAAGGCAATTTCCCCTTTCAAGATTCGTGAACAATCCTCCTAATAGGAAGGTGGGTCGTAGTCAAGGGATGAGTTGCGGAGCTAACTGAGCACGCCCTTGATGACAAAAACTCCCTAATTGAGCACAAAATGAAAACGTTCCAGGTGATAAAAGAGCGGAGCTAGGACGCCATGGGACGGTCGGCAAATTAAACACGGCCTCATTAAATTTTGGCAGGATCATGAAGGAGTTAGTCTTGATGCATAGTCCACTAGCTTGGGACCGGTCGAGACTTTTTCGCTTGTTTATTTTTTGTTAGGAAAGAGCCTTATATAGATCATTTGAATAGAATATGTTATTGTGTTTTGATCGAAAGAAGAAGAATACTTCTTTCAAAGCGCCGAGTTCGAATTCCAAGGTTCAGCAAGGATCCCCTAAGATTCGCACACCTTCACCTTCTTCGATTAGTCCATCATCGTCCAACGCCTCATCCATGGCCATGTTGAGGAATCCATGCGGATTGCTTTCTTCAAATCCGTCTCCCGCTCCTCCCGCATCCCAGATATCATCACAACTTTCTTCTTCAAGCATCGTATCCACCAACAAGTTAAAAGGGGCATTTTCGACTTCGCAATACGCCTCGGGAACAGAGAGGATACCTCCGTGTTGCTGAGCAGAGGTTTCTTCAAAGCTCATACTACCACCACCACCACCTGGGGAGCGCATTTCATAGAGAAATTCAAAGCCCAAGGCCCCCCCCCCCCCGGTCTGTTAGGGAACGGGCTGTTGGAGCTTGAAGTAATGCTGGAATTGCGAGCCTAGGAGGCCGGTCTTCGACAGGCAGATAAGTCTCAACTAGCTCCCAGCCAATGATGGACTGCTGCTTGGATGGCTGGTAACTGCTGATGCATATAATGCCATTTTGTTAATGAGCTTTAATCCCCTGCAACAAACACGACCCACCTCTTGCGACAAGCGCGAACGAGCGACTCCCTTTATATCACGCGCATTCACAGGGCAACGGAAATGGAGCATTTGATGCAGGGAGCTGAAGCTTGAATTGTCTGAAAAGGTCTGTCTTTTTGTTTCCTTTTGGGAGGGCCAAAAGTCTCTCTTTTATAGTTGTGAATAGTGGCAAAATCTAGTGGCGAAGAATCAAGTGGCAGCTTCTAGGTTCTTCTTTTGCCACTAATCCTTATTGTCGTGACACTTGACTAGCCAGCAGGTGTCGGAAGGAGCCGCATCCAAGCTACATATGGGCGCAGGTGGCGCACATGCTAGACCATTTACAGCCTAGGCTGTGTCAGCCGAATGCCGCATAACTACGCAAGCTACGGTATCTAGGCTATGCCCACCTTTCTGAACCTTCCGAATACAAGCAGTTTTTTGCCCTCAATTAATGCAGCATTGTATGTGACAGCAGGCACCGAGCGCTCGACGCTGTGCTAGACCAGCAGTTCCACGCCCGTGCTCCACCACAAGCGAACAAGTCTCGACCGGCTCCTGCGCCCACGGTGGCTGGTGATTGGTGCGATGCGCATGATGCCCCGGGCTGCTGTTGGCGCTTGTCGTAGTGCTGGACCTGGACCCGCAGTTCCACGCCCGCTAATAATGGACTGCGCGGACGGTGGCTGGGAACTGCTGCTAATGTACAGGATTCCACGCCGTCTTCGTCTTTGTCTTCATCTTCGTCTTCGTCTTTGTCTTTGTCTTTGTCTTCGTCTTCGTCTTTGTCTTCGTCTTTGTCTTCGTCTTCGTCTTCGTCTTCATCTTCGTCTTCATCTTCATCTTCGACCACCTTGTCAACATACACACTCGAACTTGAAGACTGCCCCGTAGCTGAAGACTGCAACTCATCTGCCCCGTAGCTAAAGACTGCAACTCCTCTACCCGCGAGTTCTAAGGCGCGCGCGCTCCGTCTCAATTTTTACGCCCGCAAAATAACTCAGGTTGGTGCCGTCCAACGACGCGGCGGCCGCACCAGCACGTTGGCGCAACGGGCTAACAAGGCCTAGGTTTACTAAGTGGAATACCGGCGTGGAATTGCGGGGCGCGCACCACGGCGAGGTCGTTTGGTCTAACCGTCTAATAGCGCAACGTCCGCACTAGCACGTTGGTAGTGCACGCACTATCCTCTTGGTAGCCGCTGGCGTCGCGTGGGCCGGCCATGGTCATGACATGGCTCTCTCTCTCCATAAGAGGGGGCCACCCCTTGCCTGATCTGCCTTCTCTCTGTGTCAGAGTACGACAAATTCTTGCATACCACAGCACGTCGCCCCTTGTGTTGGAGTACGACAAATTCTCGCACACTACGGCACCTCGCCTTTTGTGTTGGAGTACGATAAGTTCTTACACACTACGGCACCTTGCCTAATCGGCCAGCTAACCTAACCGTCTCAACATCAGATCAGCCACTCTCAATATCAACCAACCGGCTTCACTAAGCCATTCCTACGATGGATTCAGCAGACGGCTTTCAGCAACTGGCGCAACAACTACTCTACGTACGACAGCACCAGAAACTACTTCTGCGACAATACGAACACCAACTCTGCCTGTCGCACGAGCAGCTGTGGCAGGGGGGATGCCAACCCGACCTGCAGCCGCAGCGGATGCAGCTGCTGCGGCAATACCAGCTCTACGTCCGCCAGGAGCAACGGCTGCAGGAGCGGCTGCAGCAGCAGCAAGACCACCGCTCCCCCCACCAAGACCAACCATGTCCTTCCCGGTCCTGGTCCCGGTACCCAGCAATCAGCTCCTTCGCCGCCGGTGGCATAGTGATGGTGGTGCTGGACATAGCCCGGGAGAGCCCCGAGTACGACCCCCACGTCCGTACGGTACTCGACGCCGCCTTGGACGAGGTAATGGGGCGGCTACGGGCGGCGCCGGACACTTACGTGATGCGGTCCGACGAGTTTGCCTTGTTCAGCTTCTTTCGGGACAGGTTCGATGCCACGGATGGGATCATCATAGGCGCCCGGAAGCGGTATTGGTCTCGCGATACTGTGGAGTGATTAGCGGGGATGAGCCGCGGTGCCCCGGAGGCGGTGCCGGCAGGGTTGATTTGTGTCTTGTCTTTTCGGCTTTGGATGGTGGATTGGAGTGTCGGTCGCTCGTTCAGGTAAGTCGCTCATCTATGTCTTTCCATTCTCGAGTTCTAGTCCATGGTTTTATATTACTCTATCCCACTCCTCATCTTGGCACACTAGCGCTACTTTTTCATTCCGTCAGGTACAGCTCGCTCGGCACGGCGTGAGAAGAGATGCTTGAAGGACCACAACTGGGCCCGACTCCCTTTGCCTCGTGTAATAAATATAAACACGACTACTTCGTATGATAAATACAAGTAAGTAATAAATACGAAATAAAATGAATGACTCCTGCCCCCCCCCTCCCCCTCCCCCCCTATTCCGCCGGCTTCCTCGCGTGCCACGCTACGCCACGCCACGCGCTCAGCTTGCTTCGCTTCTTCATTGACCCAGCCCGCGGGGCCACCCACCGGCCAGTCCAGGGGGTCACACCTATCCTTCTACACAAGCCCCGTCCCAAGAGATGGCGAGTCTCGGGCGGCCTGGCTGGGGGACTGGCGGGGTCGCATGATGCCGAGTCCCTATATATATGGCTAAGGAGAACTAGGAGACTAGCCGGGTCGTACGGCGCAGGGGGAGCCAGGAGGGCGGCCGGGTCGTATGGCGTATGGGGAGCTAGGAGACTGGCTGGGTTGTATGCTACCACGTTTCCATGTACATCGCTAAGGAGAGCGGGGGGGGGGGCGAGCCGGGCCGTATAATGCAAAGTCTATACATGAAGCGCCAGGGACAAACCCGTTGTGTGCCGCAAATCCACTTTGAACCCCGGGCGTGATTCCGTGTCGCCTAGCTCCACATCCTTGCGGCTGATCGTGATCTTGGTGGCCTCGAGAAGAGATGGGTCCGAGCTTGGGACCCGTCGGCGGCCGGGTCATCGGCACCGGCATCGGTGTCAATGTGGTAGTTGTTGCCTATTTTGATGCGGCCCGGTAGATTCCGAGTCATACCTACGCTGAGCACGTCGTGCCGAGATGGTTGTCGAGGAAGCCGCGCCAGGCAGAAGAAAATCTTGTTCAGTAGTGCAGGTGCGGGATATCGGTTCCTAGATGGGCACGGTCGGTGCGATTGTCTTCGACAGTTACGGGCACCTGGCGGCTGGTGGATCGACAGGAGGACCGACTGGGAAGGTCGACGGCCGCGTCGGCGACACTGCCACCTTGAGTGCCGGCCTGTACGCAGACGCACGGTTGAGTGTTTTGTGGTTCGTAACTGGCTGCATCTGCATGGCTTGGCTCTGTCCTTCGAGAACCCTGGTACAAGAAGCTGTTCGTCATGCAGGACGCCCTGTTCCACACTTCTGTCACCTTCTTCCACAGGACCATGGGCTGCAAGTACTGCCTCGTACCGGCGACCACAGATGCCGTTAGCTCGCCGATGGGTCTAGACTCCGACTCCGAGCCCGTGCCTGCCCTCTTTCTCGGCCGGGAGACGCACCTTACGGACTCGATGCAGTTTTCTCTGAAGTACTTCCTCCGCATACAAGACGACGTCCCTGACGTCTACTGTATCAACACTTCCTTCCGCGGCGAGGGCCCTGACGCGATGCATCTCAATCTTGTCTCGTCTCTACCGCAGCATCACGAGGAGCTGGTCAAAGCCGTAGCGGGCAGCACCGACCATCTGCTGGCCTTGCCCGAGCTCTACCGCTCTCCTGGTCGTAAACTCCCTCGCATCACTGTCGACGATGCTCTGGACCTTCCGATGATGGACGGCAGCGGCTGGAGGTTCATCCTGGGCTCGCATCCGAGCAAGGGACGGACGGTACCCGAGCGGTGGAGTTGAAATTGATCAAACACTGTTGGCGTCGCTGTCTGGCTCACCGAGATGGACCACCTCAGCGTGCCATTCTACCAAACCTTCTCGGGCGCGGCGGCCGTACTTTTGATCTAGGACCAAGGACCGTCTTGACTCGCAATCGCCGAGAAATTCACAGGACCTTCTCCTGGGCCTGTTGAGCCTTGGTATCGCTATCACAACAAGCATGGGGCTCCGCAATTGTGCGACGCCCACCCGCCTTGTTTACCCACCTTGTCTGCCCGCCTAACCTTGTTTGCCGAACCTAATCTGCCCACCTATCTGCCGACCTTGTTTGCCCACCCTTTTGAGGGGTTTCGATCTGTTTACGGCACTACGGACATGCTCAATACATGTGCGTCTGTGTAGACTGGGATGCCCATGACTGTGTACAAGAAGAGCCCGCCCCCTCCCTTCCATCTCCCCTTCCCCCTCTCCCCCTCCCTTCTCTCTACCCTTCCCCCTTTCCCCCTCTCCCCCTCTCCCCCTCTCCCCCTCTCCCCCTCTCCCCCTCTCCCCCTCTCCCCCTCTCCCCCTCTCCCCCTCTCCCCCTCTCCCCCTCTCCCCCTCTCCCCCTCTCCCCCTCTCCCCCTCTCCCCCTCTCCCCCTCTCCCCCTCTCCCCCTCTCCCCCTCTCCCCCTCTCCCCCTCTCCTTTCTCTACATTCATCATCTCCCCACACCAGCAACATGGGCCACCGAGCACACCAGACTCGTACAACGGCGCAGCAGCCAAGTCTCGGGCACTTGACCTTGCCAGGTTACGGGAGCTCTTTCCTCCCGCCGCACGCAACCCGCCGCACGCTACGCAGCCGCCTACAGGCGACCTCATCCCGAAGAAGCGTGCCGCCCTAGACGGCGGCGGCGATAACCAAAGGGAGAACAAGGTCCCTCGCCATGGACTTGCCGTGGTGGATGGAACCTATCCGCCGCTTCCCTCGGCGTTGGAGGTGCTTGCGGGAGCTGCCGCCGCCGCCGCCGCTGACGGCAGCCGCCTCGCAGAGGAGGTGGGGGGACCGTACGAGCCTTGGGGCGAGTTCCGCGGAGAGGACACGCTCGTGCCCGACGACCCCAGCCTCAGATACTGGAGGGACATGCTCTGGCAGCCCGAAGAGGGCGCGCCCTACCGCGGAGAGCACCTCCTCCTGCCGCGGCCGCGCTCGCGCCCCCGCCCCCGCGCTCGCGCCCCCGCCCCCGCCAGCAGTCTCCCCCCCGTGTGACAACAACCGGTGGCCGACGTCGTCGCGCCGCCAGTCTCCCCGAACAACTGGAAGCCAACCCCCTCGCCGGCACCACCATACCCATACCAGGTGTGACTGAGGACTATCATGGGTATTGGCCATCCCATACGTTTTCAAGCTGGGGATCGAAAACGGAGGGCTCGGGAGGAGGTAGTGGTTCTGAGCTCGTTTCGTGTCTATCGTGTTTCTGATAGAAGGTGGCAAGGCAGCGCTTTGGTATTTGTTTCTTGCTCGCATCTATTGCAGGAGGTGGTTGAGGGAGTCTGGTCGCTCATTTCAGATTTGTTGTTTGCTTGCATTTGTTGTAGTGTTATGGTCGCTGCTAATTGGAACTGGAGATGGAGATTGACTTACGGCAACTAGAGCTTGACTTGCAGCGACTCGGGGGATGGTTGACTGGCAGGAGAGTGGCTGAGGGAAAGTGCTTGAGGAAGTTGGGCCCGAGGGAGAGTCATCGCGGGTCGGCGGCGGCAATTCCTGCTCGGCTACGTCAGTAATTCAACTCTTGCCACTTTACCTCTGGACTTCCGTCAAAGCGTAAAATATGGCGTTGTTTTTTCGGCATGTCCCTGGTTGGGAAGCCGTCAAGTGGAAAATGTGGCGTTTTTTCTTTTCCGGTCCGTTGTGATCCTCCCAGTCAGGAAGCCTAGCAGCTGAAAAGTGTCAGTGCAGAGGTAGAAAGAAATGCGGTGCGGTGGGTGTAGACACTTGTTCACATGCAGGGCAGGCCCGGCGTGAGGAAACTCAACCTTGCGCAAAAGGACCCCCAAAATAAGGTTTGGCCCTGCCCCTGCCCTGGCCCCTGGTCAGGGCTAGACAGTAAAACAAGAATTAGCGGCGCATCGGAAGAGCCCATCTCGATCACACTCTGAACCCCGCATTTCTTTCTACCCCCGAGGAGTAGGGGCAGGGCTAAACCTTATTTTGAGGTCTTTTTGCGTAAGGCCGCCACCACCCAATTCCCCGCGCCCTGCGCGGAGCCTGCGATAGCTTTCCTTTTCCTTGAATAGAGCCGAGCTCCGTTCAACCAAGTGCATTTTCCCACCAGTCTTCAATTGCAGCAATCGAACCACCATTCTGAGCCGAGTTCCGTTCAACCAAGTGCATTTTCCCACCATCAGTCTTCAATCACAACAATCGAACCACCATTCTGACCCGCTTTTTCTGCTCTTCATCATCATACATTCTACCGCCCTTCGCCGCCTTCGAGTTCCTATCACGGAAGCTTCAAACCTTGGCCTGCAAGGTTGAACCTTTCTACTACTGCACCCCGGTGATCGCGACGAGGCCGAAGCTCGGCAACCAACAAACTAACCTGACCAAAATATCTCCTAGACTCCAAGCCATCCTGCTCTTCAAAAGTATGTTCGAGCCTTTGAACGTCACCTCGAAGCGCGCCAGCGTCGCGTCCACGCTCGGGGATCATTGGGGTGGCTTTCCTGGTGGGCTTAGGCTTGGGCTTAGGCTTGGGCTTGGGCTTGGTGGATCACAATCCGGGGCTAGATCAAGTTGGGGCATTTTCCCAAGCCGGGTCTTCTTGATCTCACTCTACATATACCACCGGACGCCTCCCGATCCCAGATACCACCACTTTCTTCTTCTTTCTTCTTCAAGCATCGTATCCTTTTCGACTCACTAGGGGCGTCTTCTTCTTCGGCCAACTCACAATGCGCCTCGGGACTAGGCATTTCTTCAGAAGTCATACCACCACCAGCGTCACGTCCAGCGTCTCCGAGCACGACTTTGAGCATGGCAGAAGGTGAGCGGGCAGGACCCCCCTTTTGCTCCTCCATAAACCAACGACAGTTCACTAACCTTGTGCTTCCGTCCTTTTCTCGTCTTATTAGTGCCACTCGTACAAGAACCTGCGGTACCCGATCCCCAACGACGACAGGGAGCAGGAACGCGAAGACATAAAGCACATCATGATGCTAGAGTTGACCGTTACCAACAGAGTGCCCACACATCTCCAGTGAAATGATAAGACACGGTGTTGCCTTGTTATTTGCGGTTATCGACTTGTCGTTAGTTCCAAGGACCAGACGGGAGTGATTCCCCGTCCATGTTCAATGCAATTGGCCCACCCGTCGATGGTGGTGTTTTCGTGAGGGGAACCGTGGGGGAGGATCATGCGAATGCTACCCAGCGAGATGAGGAGAGTCAGTGCCTAGACACGAGCTCCACGCCCAATGGGGCCTCCAATGGCTCTGCTGGGATTTTCCATCCTTTTACATCTTCTCCGCGTCTTATCCGCCCATTTCCGCCTGCAATCGTCCAAATTCAGCCGCCAACGCACCACTATCGCCTTCCAGGAACTGTTTTGCAACGCTCGCCCTAGTAGGTCTGGAAGCCTTTCAAACGCCGTTCCCCAAGGGGCCCTCATCATGCTGACATTTGACCCTCCAATAGGCCGCCCTCCTTTTCAGTACGGTACTTGTCAACAAGGCAGCGTCACTCAGTTTGGGCAAGCACCTTCAGACGCTGCCTGTTGAGGAGGCGGCAGACGCAATCCGCTGGACAAATATCGGCATCACACTCGGGATTGCCTCTTTTGGCTTACCCAAAATGTCTGTAGCAGTCCTAGTCAATGGCGTCGCCTCCAATCCACACAAGGGTCGACACGGGGTGATAGCTTTGATGGCCAGATTGCTCTGCCAGATCGTGCTCCTGGCCAATACCATCCTCTTCTCAGTTCATCTAGACGATCCAAATAGCATTCCAAGCGACATGCTTATCAAATTCGCCATAGTTTCAGTATCTATTGACAGCCCCCCCCCTTCTAGTCCACTTGTACTGACTCTTTGGCGTCTTCAGGTATAACCGAAATACTGCTGATATTGTTGATACTGGACATTGTCCGGACAATCCAGCTGAAATTAGGAGTCAAGCCCCCATTGATTCTGGCTCTGTCGTTCGGTTCAGTGTATGAATATGAATCCCGCTCCCCGTAGCGTCCAGGATAACTGCCGACAGCCTCACACACACAGGTCGGGCTTAGTGGCCTTTGTCAAGGTTGCCTACCTCAAGACTTTCCTAGATCCCGACTTCACCTATAAGTGTGTCCGGTTCCGCGAATGGCGAAGGCCAACAGTCGTCTTGCCTCTCTTGTCACGCGCTACCATTGAAACTCGCTAGGGAGCGTCACTAACTTGGTCATCTTGACCACCGTCGAGGCCTTTACCGCCGCAGCTGCCAGCGCTATACCGATGTTCAAGCTCCTTCCTCTGCACTTATTCTCGAGAGCCAAGTCATGCAAGCACCGCGACAGCTCACACGGCCACGATAGATTTGTCTGAACTCCCCAAATAATTTTTGGAGTCCTGGGCACACATGCTTGGACCCAAGTTCTAATGCGGCTACAAACACCACGAGTGTCCTTGCCTCGGCTACTATAGGGACAGCATAGATAGATGCCTTGGTTCACGCCGAGGTATTCGGTCTCGGAGCGAACGAACAGGCCCTGACCTTCCCAATCCGGCTCCTCGTAAATGATCATCTCCTCGACGACTCCAGGAACACGCAACTTACTCGCGAGGAAGCCTACGAGAGGCTTGGCCGGCCCGTGCAATGTTTTCAGAGACAGCTATCCCACATTATTGGAGTTTGGCAGAGTCTCGAAAAGTCACCATACTTTCAGCGATATTATCGCGGCATCCATGCAGCCCGGTCTTGGAGCCGGCGGAGGGACGAGTTGGCTTGAGGAACAGGATACCGTGGACAAGCTCTGGATGAACAGGCTCTATAACGTTTTCGATTATCTGGGGCACGCCTCCGAGAGATTCGGCGACTCAGGCTGCAAAGTGTTACTCGAATTTCTCGGCTCCTCATCCATTGCTCTGTACCACGCCATGGCTGACCTCGCCGGCCTAAGCTCGGTCAAGCGCAAGATAATGGAACGGAGAGCACTGATCTTTTACAGACTGTTAGCTAATCTACGTACCTCTTTGCCCATCCCAAACTTGTCGCTGTACTGATGTGTTCCTCGTCAAACAGGAGCAAGAGCATCCAAGCAAATCGCGAGCTCTGGCTGAACGCTGCTCACCTCGAAGCCCGGGCCATGATTGGAGGAGGCGGTGACCCCTCTTCTGTAAGCTACATTTTAGCCGGGACCAACGGCGCGCATCTCTTCGGGAATTACCTTTCCTGGTTCGGCGGCGCTACCAGTCGGAGGAGCGTTATGGAGATGTAGAGCACGACCTGGAATTCTTCGAACTGGCGAGCTCGAATTATGACAGCTCCGACCGACTCCGGCTCGGACGAGTTGGAACGGTTCATTTGTTTGCCAGACCAAGAGGACAAACAGCAGCCGGCTGTCGTATCAACTCTGGGGCTGAAAGGAGATGGTCGTTTCTCTCTTGAGCTCTGGCCCAACGTCTATGACGGTCTCGCAGTCAACTAATCTTCCCCCGAGAAATTCACGCCCATCCGTGATTCATTTATCGAGGCTCTAGGAATCCCTTAGACATGGTGAGCCAATAAGGAAATCGCCCCACAACGAAACCTTTGCCCCTGTCATCTAATTTCCCACCCTACAACTTCCAAACACCACAACTTACAAACACCGAGCTTACAAACACTACAACTCCCAAACACTACAACTCCCAAACACTACATCTTCCAAACACCACAACTTACAAACACCACAACTTACAAACACCACAACTTCCAAACATCACAACTAACAAACACCACAACTTACAAACACTACAACTTCCAAACAACACAACTTCCAAATACCACAACTTCAAAACACCACAACTTCATCAAATCAAGCCCAAATTGCTTCAAAATAGGCCATGTCGGACCTTCGCGAGCAGCTTATTGAAGCTGCAATATCCGCTGTTAAGCACGGCGCTTCGCAGAAGGACGGCGCTTCGCAGAAGGACGCTGCCAAGTTAAGTTACATAGCATCCCTGCCTCCACCCTCTGCCAACGCATCCATGGCGTAAAAAATCGAGCAAAAGGTAAACAGACCGAAAGAAATCTCTCCGATGCGCAGGAAGGCTTCCTAGCCGACCAGTGCCTCAATGAGGAAGCTGCAGGCAGTGTGGCCAATAGTTCGATAGCGATAGTCAATAGTTAGCCCGTAACTATAGTAACTATCATATTTGGACGATAGTTCGAGCAGGGGTGGTGTCAGGGGCAGGGGTCCAGCCCCTCCCCCTCCCCCTCTAACTCCCGCTCCTCGACAGATGCGTCGTTTTCAGCCTCATTCTCGTCATCTTCGTCATTTCCATCGCTACATATGAGATCAACGAGTTCTGACTTCAACCAGCTCTTCAGACATTGCGTTTTCTCAACCATTTCTGGCCCCAATCGCATCCTGGTCCATGTAATTGTACGCCGTGCGCCTGAGAAGACCCTCTCTGGCTCATCGCTCATCGCTGGTGTAGATAAGACCATCACGGCGAATTGTGATAGTTTGGGATATAACGCTTGACGTTCTTCGTGCAGCCACCAGTCTAGTGCTGTAGTGTTGGGGTGGCTAAGTGGAGTAATAGGTGCCTTGATGTACCTGATATACTCGTCTTCTTGCTTTCCTCGCTTGCTGAGGAGGTTGCGCTGCGCACGTATCCTATCGTACGCTGAAGGTTCAGTCTGGGTATCTTGGAGATCGAGCTTTGTAATGCTGGAGGCCAAGGTTATGGGGTCAACGCTCTTCGAGTAAGCCTCCCAGAACTGTTGCGTGCTCTTGAGTGCTGGGGCTTGCCACTTCTTTGGCCAGTATGTCTTGATGTACTCCGTACGTCTAGATGGGTGTAAGACGATAGCAGCTGCGTATATTGGCGTGTCTCCGGTCTTCAAATAATATTTATCGAAGACCTCCCAACTCTTATCGACGTTTTGGAGTAATTGAGGATGACAAGACTCCCGTGAACTCCTTAGATGCTCGACCAAGATGTCCATGCTGAAAAGGACTTCCGAGATAGTGCCTTTGGCTCCCTGGCTCTCAAGTGTAGCTTGTTGGAAGGGCTGAAGGAACACTGAAATAGAATGAAGCATCTCCCAGTCACCGAGTGTCAAATAGTCGTCCGTAAGGTCCAGATGCTTCTTTGTATATGAATCGATTGCTCCAGAGATTGGATCCTTCAAGGCAGTGCTGAGGAGTAGATACCAACTGTTCCAGCGTGTGTCGTTATCCAAAGGCAGCCCTCGTCCTGCCAACTGAATAAATTCGGTGTTCCGTATAGGTGATCTCCGTATATGAACAGCAATGTTGTGAAGCTTCCCAAGTGGCCCTTTCAATCTCCAGCCTTGTTGCACCTCGGCGTCACTGCTGGTGTCGCTAATTAGGGGGTCTTCGTCCACGACGTTGATATCGGAAGCGGCGAAAAAAGCTTGCACAGCAAGATTGAGAATACGGCCGAAACAACGTAGTCGATTTTGTACCGGATTCCACTCAATACCAGCCTCAGAGAGCCCTTGGCTTAGTGAACGGCAGAGAACATCGTTTGAGCTGGCGTTGTCTCCCATGAAACAACCAATCTGGCGCTCAATCCCATAGAACTGAATAGCCTTGTGAATCTCGAAGGCTTGATCGACTCCGCGATGAGAGAGAATAGGTTTGAATGCCAGAAGTGCCCTCTTCAGCCGTTTGTCGTTACGGTCAACAAAATGGGCACAAACTCCCAAAAATAAGTGGAAATTTGGAGACGTCCATAGGTCAGCTGCGATATGGATTGGTGAGAGCGCTTCCTGGAGCCTTTGACGGATAGCATCGCTTGCTGAAACCCAACTTGACTGCACCATCTTAGAGACCGTAGAATGTGATGTCGGTAGCGATTCGACGGCAGGATTGACGATTCGCAGAAGTGTATGGAGCTCAGGCCATTGTACAGCACGAAATGGGAGATCATGCCGTATAATGAGTCGTACGAGGGCCTCTGAAATAGCTCTCTTGTTGATAACCGACTTCAAAACCTTAAGGTCATAGGTTTGGCGTGTTAGGCCTGTTGCCAGATAGATCTCATCAACCCCCTGGCGTGCAGAATCAAGGACTTTGGAGGTTCCAGAAGTGATAGTGATCTTGTGCTTGTTCTGAAGGTGTTTTCGGGCAGTCGTCAGGCTTACAGCACTATAAGCGGTGCCGGTGCAGTGCTTGCAGTACCATATCTCCACGTTCGTTGAAGGATTCCGAACTTGCTCCCCAATGGCCGGAGGTCGCGCATGCGCCCATGTAGTGAGAGCTGTCCGCGGTCGATTGCGCGCTTCATGGCTGGGGCTAGTTGTATCGCTACTAAGCGAGAAGGTGATATCTGGTGTGCCGGGAGCTGACATATCGAACTGACTGAAGGTGAAGCCGTACGGTAGGTAGAAATGACAAAATGAAGGTGGATTTTGGTGTTGTGGTAGAAATGTGCGAAGCTGACTAAGTTAACTATTAGTCAGATAGTTAGTTCGAACTATCGGACTATTTGTGGCTGGTAACTGTGGCTGACTATTGGCCACACTGGCTGCAGGGCGTGCGCCTAGTCGTCGTCAGAGGCTCTACTCGTGAGGCTTACGAAGACTTCTACAAGCGCCTAGCCTTCCAGATCAAGGATAAAAAGGTCAAACCGGCCAACATCGCCAACAATGCCCTAAACGCCGGATGAATGGCGTATATTAATCCTTGACGAACATTCGAGCTATGACGAAGAATTCATGTTGACGGCATGGAGAAACAAGGTGCAGTTTGTCTTTTACCCTCAAATACATCGCAAAGGTCCTAGCCTCTCGATCGCTCAGTTTTTCCACCTTTGGAGAACTATTCCAGGCAAAATACCGAGACTTTCGCGGGCTTCACTTCGTCGGCGCCTATCAACAAGTAACGGTTCCTTTTTTGCTACAGAGATGCCCGGGCTCGGGCACCAAATCAGCCACATGCAGTGGAAGAAGCCCGAAAAATAATCGCCCGTGGGCTTGAGCAAGGGTCGGCTCTTCTAGACTACTACGACACACCTGAGCCGGGAAACTGACAATGCGATCAATCACAGGCGGTGCCTCTCCAACCATCTGCCCTGCACCATCTTGTCGACACTGCGTCATTCGCTACAATTATCGGCCCTAAACGGCGCTCGGGTGTCCGGCTCGACGCCCAGGTGGTGGAGAATGCCACGAGGCTCACAAGCAGTGTGACAAAGGCGATGGTGCGAGTCGGTCACCATATCCACACGCTGCAGTTCTGGGTCGACATATTTTACGTTCATCTTCACCATTTCCAAATACGAGGAGATGGCCAAGGAGCATGGCGGTGCCATTCCGTGGTACGACGTGGCTGCCTGGCACAAGGGCTTGGTGGAGGATAACATCAAGGCCGGGCGGTCGCGCCCGGCAGAGGACCCGTCCGCGCCCTCGAAAGATACCAAAGCCTTGGCTACAACCTCCTGGGAACCCACCAAGACGCTAAAGGAGCCCTGTGATTCACCGAAAGATGCCATGTCCGCGACCGACACAGCTCAGGAATCCACCGAGGCGGCAAGGGACGGGAAGGGAGATGATGGACCTTCAGACGAGCCAGCCGTGGCAGAATCTAGGAACGGGGTCAAGCCCCCATCCTATTTAGAGTTCCTACCGCAACGCTGGCCCTCTTCAGCAGCGACGGAGGCCTGCTCGGCCGACGCGCAAACGGGCAGTTCACGCCGGCCAACCGCTATGACATACTGACCTACACTATGGTGCGTCTGGCGATGCGGATCGTCAAAGAGCGCTCGACACCGCTGCGGATCGAGAAAGCCGAGGGGCGAGATCATTACTGTTTCGCTGTCTCGGATGAGGCCATCTCTACCTTGTGGGGCCAACTAGGAGATAGAACCGATCAGAGCACCTTTAGGGGCGATCCGAGCGAGATTGCGATAATCGGCGTCGGCGACGTGAGTCACACTGATTCCTCCTCGGACGTCGGGAAAACGCCATCCGAACGCGCGGACAAACATATTGACCGTCTTTACCCTCGACTCGAGGGCGAGCTTGGACTCGGAGCCGTCTGCCAGCCGCAGCTGCATTATGTCGGCTGCCAGCTGGGATACTAGCACGGGTCGAGTCTCGTCGACATTATGCGGATATACCAGCGCCATACCAGGCTAGTCTCCTCGCACAAGTGCTTCAGGCTCCCGTCGATTCGCCGCGCCGGCGGCGTCTGCCATGGTCCACTGCTCTTGCATTGAGAGCAAGAGAAAAAGCCTGGGTACGAGGTTGAAAGGCTGGCAGCTGGGAGACGATGCTGGGGCGGGGAGTGTCGGGCAAATGGCCGCTATCATCTCGGGGACCCAGCCGCAGGCGAGCGGGTTCGAGGCATCAAAATACTGCAAATGCCTTTCGATCATGTCTTTCGACCATGTCCCATCTGGCCGCGGGACTGAAGTAGTTTCGCGCCAGTACCCCGCGTACTTTACGATGCACATTGTGTCCCAGGCGGATCTGCGACACGATGCTGGTGCCCCAATCGCAAAAGAATGACGACAGCTCCGCCAATATTGGGTCCTGCGTGGTTGTACGACCATAGCGGCATCGGGCCAACCGTGGGCCGCCAGACTGCTGTCAGCAAAAGGCAGCAACTACGACGCTCTCTTTGACAGGGGGATGTCGACTACGTCACCGAAAAATGGGACGTAGGCACGAACAGTCGTTGCAATTGGCAGATAGGGAACCATACGATCCAGTTGGTACTGCAGAAGTCATTACCTGCACGTCCGCACAGGCGCTCCGACTCAAAAACATTTGGTGTTTCGGGAGGGGGGACGTGGCGGAGAGGAGGAGGGGGAGGAATAACTGAAATAAAACTCACCGGACGCCGTATAATTGCATCTGCCTAGTCGCTTGCCCCGCAGAGTGGGTGAGCCGTTGCAATGTCGTTGGCCGCTGACGGATGAAAGGAAAAGGAAAACAGAAAAGAAAAACCCTCCCAATACGTCGTCGCGTCACATACCCATCGGCACCTCGAGCTAGAGGGTCTCAAGCTCGCCTGATCGCTGCCACAGAAAGCGGAGGCGGAGTAGCTCTCGTCGATGGTTTGCATGCCTCCATACGGGCTCGTAGGTCTCCGCATAGGTCGACCACGGCTCTAAAACGGCACGCGCTTCCTACGCGGGTGGAATATTTCTTTCTTTCGCCGCTCTTCCATCCTTTGTTTCGCTTCCCCTCCTTCCGTACACCGAACACCTATTCTTCCAATTCGCTTTCTCGGTGCATTATTGATCATGGCAAAAAAACCGCAACCAGAACTCCTTATCAGGGTGTCCATACCGCCGGAACTCCTTGACGAGCTTAAGATGACGGACGTAGTATTCTTTGATAATTCAACGCTATTGTGCCCTCTCGAGTTCAGCGAAGTCGGAGTCGGGAACGACCTAGAGGCGGAGGAAGCCGATTTCCTTGAACGTGTTGGATTTTACATTCAGACCGAAAAAAATATGAAGTGTTGTGTTCCATTTCTCCCCTCCTCTGGCTATGCCAGAGGTGCAGGTTTTATACATATGAGTGGTGGCGAGCTGTGTGGCAATTTTGGCTCACATCAGCTGAATAATCTAGTATTTATCATCCACTAGAAGATTCCATATGGTGAATTCAACAGAACGAACAGCTGCCAAAAACAAAGACAGAGAACAAGAGTTCCGCCCAGAATAAGGGCTGGACCGACGACGAAATTGCCCTGGAATGGCTTCGCGATATATTCAAGATACGGCTCCTAGAAAGTGAGCGCCATAGAGGCCTTCCTAAGGTTCAGCTCGGTTGTGGCTCGGTTGTGGCTTAAATCTAGGCGACAGATTTCAATGTACCGTTTGGCTAACTACGGTCCGAAAAGACCTTTCTACGGTCCGAGTAAACATTCCCTTAAAAAAAGACGCCCCTCAACATGGATGAGATTATTTTAACCGTCTTCTCTTCCCCCCTGGACTGCCTTCCGGGCCCGGCCGAGACTTGGCAACTCCGGACACCACCTCCTGCTTCTCGTCTTGGATAAAATCTAGAGCGAGCTGGATGTTCCTCAGGCGGCCTCCTTGTTCCCAATTGAGAATGGCTGTCACCCACCGATGGATGCATGTGAAGTGCTTCGGACTTGATAGCAAGAAAGAGCCTACCCGCTGAATGTAGATAACCAGATTGCCTTTGTCCTCGGCTCCCCACGACACATATAGCTGAGCAAGGCTATTATCGATGGCGAGGCTATAGCAGATATTAGGAACATGTCCATTGCATCCGACATATCCAAGTCTTATGTTGAGTTGGTTAATAGCCTGGACGCAGGCGGCCGAAGCGCCAGCACACTGGTTCGCCGCAGCCCAGAGACTTCCTCCAGTCCCTGCTGCAGCCTTGAACTCGACGGTAAAGAAGTGGAACCAAAGACCGGGGGACGCCTGTGCGTAGAATGGAATCTGACTATGGAGCCCCAATAATGCAATCAACTGTGCCTCGGTGAAGGTGGGTGGTGTCTTTGGATGGCCATAGAGCAGGTCAGGCTGTGGCTGCGTGATTGCCCATGGTGCCATCGCCGTCGGGAGGCTGGGTAGGAGGTGACGAGCTATATGCTTGTTGGCCACGGAAAACAAACTCCCAGTTGGGACTTTTGTAGTGGCACCTTGGGGAAAGAGATGTTTTTTGAAGTAGTCACTGACATTGCTCTCGTTGCACCCCATACCTAGCGCGTCTAGGTCGTAGATAGCCTCAGCCACAATCTCCGCGGAGAGCTCAGGCAGTGTTGTGGAGGCGATCTGCCCGACGTGGGCGGCTACGGTATCGGGAAGCTGTTCGGATGCCGGAAGATGATATGGTTGGGCTCAAGGCATTAGATGCGGTAGCCTGAGTGCTTGACACTCTCCATATTATCGTCGTCGTGGTCGTCTTCATCGTGGTCGTGGTCGTCGTCGTCGTCTTGGTTAAAGATTGCGTTGGGGTAAGTGGCTAGATTGTGCTGTCTCCCCGGGTCGCTGTCCCGGCGTTGGGCAAGCCTGGCGGAACGCCGACGCGGCTGCTGCATTGTGGCTGCCATACTTCTTGTCGGAATGAGACATGCAAAACAGAGAGAGACGTGTACCGTAAAGAGAGATGGGGGAAGAAAGAGAGACGTCAATGTTGGAGCTATCTAACTTATCACTTGGGAGACTCAAGGGACTTTAGAAACGGCAATCAAGAGGTATAGAAATTGTAGGCTTTATTTGAAATTCCTTATCCGGAGGTTTTGTGAAACTGGCCACGGTGCGACAAAACTTCTATAATGGATCCAGATGTGATACGTAACGACTGATCCCTGTCAACCGCTAGAAGGTGCTAGACAAAGAAGGGTTCTTCATGGAAGAAGAAGAAGCAAGACCCGTCACGCCACCCCCTACTCGCCCTGGCCTTGCAGACTATATAATGCCGACGCTCAGCGGTAGCTAGGCCATTATCAAGGTCATGTAGATGTATCGCTAGAACTTTAGTCGCGTTGATCATGCCCTTCTTGGTAAGGTAGGGAAGGCCCTCGATGTGAGAAACGTGCAGATCGCCAGTTTGCAGGCGGAAACTAGGGTAGCTATGCAGGGCGATGGCGATGTAATTCTTGTTCAGGATCAATTGTGTTGGAGGGGCTGCAGTATATTTTAGGGATAGTACTGCGTTTTGATGGCATCCGCCGCCGCGGTACCTGTCGACAGAAAAATATCGGGGACCGAGGAGACTGCCGCGGCGTCGCTACCTCCACTTGATGAAGTGCGCTCTCGTTTGGTAGAGGCCTTATCCACGAAGAACGAGGTCAGCAACTGCCACCACGGGCTGCAATGCTTGAACTCCTCGCGCTCCGTGAAGATCTCCTCCATGGTCATGCTCGACACCAGCATAAGGCTCTCGCCCTCGATGATGCCCTTGACGATGTTCTCGAGGGACTGGTGGCTGTTGGCCCCCTTACCGTGGTTTCCGCAGTCGGCAAGGAGCATGGCGTACTTGATCAGCGCGCCGCCTTGGTCCTCGCGCCGCCTTGGTCCTCACGCCGGTGGTCTTGGACGTGGTTGTCATCTCTCTAAGCCTCTTCCTATTGTGACTGATCGACTGCAAGTCTTTCTTGCAGTGTCCTGCATGGAAGGTACGGAGATAAGCGGTGTGTGGAAATGAGCATCGGGCATACCCCCCCGTAGCGAGCTGAGTTCAGAATCTCTTACCCGACCAACGTGGGTTGTCTTTCCCACGACCTAGACTCGAGGATGGCGGACGTCATAAAGTACGGTGCGTTGTATGTGAAGATGAGCATTAGAGTGGGCTGCTAGAGTGGTAAGACTGCTCAGGTGCACGACATGCGAGCGTTTAGTCGTGATAGAGGGCGTCGCACGTCGCGTATCCCGGCTTCCAAGCGATTCAAAATAAGGAATCACCCGGGCAAGTGGAAGCAGAAGGAACTGGGTTTCTCAAAATTGTCTGAACCGTCAGGACTCGCCACCATCAGAACGGGTAAGGAGACCTTGGGACGGAAGAGAGAAGTGCCGGCTGCTTGGTCCCCCTGATGCCTGCCCTGCAGCCAGCGAGCCACCGCACTGTCCTTGCGAGCCATGCAGTTCAAAGCGCGAAGATGCTGTGCAACTGTGTTTTGGAATCATACCCATTCTAGCTACTTTAACCGAACGGTGATTTTCGACGACGCTGGCAGTCTTGTCGGGACGATTCTAGTTGCATGACTGCGTCGGCTTACGTGGTAAGGCGCTGCGCATGTTGGACCTACGCGCTTTACCATGGGTCCAATACCGCGGCTACCGCACCCTACCTGGATCAGACGAGTACTACCGCAAGGCAAAAGGCGAAGGGAAGGGATATACACAGCCTTAGACTTCAGAAGTTGCTATCTCTTTAGGCAGGGAAGTATATTTAGCCCCGCTGCCGCTTCTCTAGCCGGCTCTCAAAACCCTCCAGATAAAGACGCAACAGCTCTTCTGATCTACCTATTACTTATCATAGCCTAACATATCTCTACATTACGGGAGTCACTCACATCATGTCTTCCCTTTCAGAATGGCTTGTTCCTCAGCCCACCTTGAGTCGGGAAGACTTGAAATCACTAGATTACCATCTCGAGGAAACGCGATAAGATACATTGTCTATATTAGGTTTCCAACTTCTTTCAGTCAGCATCACTAAACAGATTATGACGCCGTTAGAACAAGAAACCCAAACTGAGATAAAGAACGACGCAATGAAACTTCGAGACTCGTATCAGGGACTGATGGATGAGAGTATGTAAAGCTGAATTATGTTCAGGTCTGGCAAGATCTTACCAAGACTAGGTACTGGCTGTATCAACCGATGAGGAGTTTAACAAGATTAAATACTATCTAATCGGGAATGGCTGGAATCTTGAAGAGATTGAGCGTAGTAACTGGGTAATTATCCGACCAGAGTGACCACGACAGTGGAGATCAGGATCATGGCAACGATAGCGAGGATCACGACAGCGGGGATCACGATAGCGAGGATTAGGGCCATGACTAATGATAGAGAGGATTATCTTAGAGTACAATCTAATAGTAAAATTGATTGTCAGCTTTTAGACGTGCCTCGTTCGTACTTATTGTCGTGTCATGAGCTACTAGGAATTCACACTTCCGGCGCGTCCAACCCCTGGGCTAATCGATGAAGACCTGGACCGAGGAGTTCCCATCGCTTGCCACAACTGCTATAGTAGTCAAGGTGCGCAAAGAAGATGAGACTCTTTGGGATCGCTAGTTGAAAGCCCAGCATATCCTCTTAGAAAGCTACGTCTAACCGATTTTGCTGCCGCAAACGGCCTGGACGGCGTTAGTAAAGAGCTTTGATGCGCGCACCCACCACCTTTTTCCTCGCACCTACCTATGGGTCCTTGGTAACTAGCAACGCAGGGCGTCGTTATGGTAACGCAGGGGCGGCTTTTTGTATTGTAAAATGCCGTATTCCATGGCAGCCACCCAACGCCCTCGCCGTCCCCGGCTCCCTCGCGGTGGCTGTCGCTGTCCCCGGCTCCGGCTCCCTCACCCTCGCCCTCGCTGTCTCCGACTCCGGCTGCCTCGCTCTCGCTGGCTCATTCGTGCCGTGACGATTCTCGCCTGCGCCTTCGGGCGGGCCGCCGGGCCCGGCACTCTCTCGGTTTTCATAGACTAGGGAGCTAGATTAATAGACTCAATACCAAGGAAATGCATCTCCGTATTAACAAATCAGGACTCAACGGATTACTCGGACACCTAGGTGCTGGCCCTGACTTTTGGCTAATTTGCGTAAGAATCCGGGACTCAGAGTTGCCATTTGCAAGTCGCCTTTATTCCGAGGCTGACTCAGTAACGAAGAAATCGTCAAAGTGGAAAACACCACGGTAAACGCGTTTTCAGGGCTTTTGAAGTGTTTGACCGCTTCAACGTTGTTGACCTGGGCGGCCGGGTGGGTGTGTTAGCACATGGGAGCGTCTGAGTGTCTCAATTGCTAGCAGCCGCCAAGGACCCACAGGTAGGTACGAGGAAAAATGCAGATCCGCCCCAAAAACAAGTTGAAGGGCCGACGGCCCAAAGCCCTTGGGACGATAGATGACTACTAGGGTTAGGATTTACCCCTCATTTGGAGTTTGCACTTGATGTCTAGTCCCTCAGTTGGTTCAATTCGCTATCTCCTCCCCACCTTTTCGTCCTCACGTACCTTGCCCAAACTGACGCCTTCGCACTAGCGGCGCTCCGCCAGCAGCTTCCTTCAGCTATTAGGAAGATCCAGCGGGGCGTGAGCTGACGGAGCAACTTGCCATTTTCGTTTGTCGTTTTTTCCATAGCCACTAGGCTAGCTATAGGGATTTAATATATAGATATCCATCAAGCTCGGTACCTCTGCTCCTTTTTGCTCTAGACTCACTACGACGCCCTCAGACCATCTCAGCGCCCGAAAATGCAAACGCCGCCAGCTATCACGTCACCTTCTCCTGATACTAAACAAGTTCTACACACACAGGACAACAAGACTTGGCGAGGACGAGCCAAACCTCGCCATGGACGCGCTCAAACCCATGCTGAAATAACTAAGAGACTTACTAGAATGTATGATTAAATTCATCGTGTGTATAAATATCGGTTGATATTGGTTAGGTGTATCCAGCAGAGCTGCAGAGCTGGTGAGTCAAGACGACGGTACAGTCTAGTTCCGGCGGCGGTTCTAGTGGCAGTATGGACGACGCGGCGACCGCGGCGGCGACAATCAGGATAAGGCCCAAGCTACCAAAGCTACGAGATCTTTGTCGCCCTTGCGCTACTTGGCCTCTTTTTGCACAGTGTGTTTCTCTCTGGCCTTCTTCTTGGCCTACCCTCGCTGTTTTTCGTCCTGGCGTGGTTTGCCATGGCGGGGAACGTCAGGCGTGCCAGCTCGGTCACTGTATCGTGCGCTATCCATATCCGTCGTAGCCCTGTCGGCATGTTTGGCCTTGGATCTATGAAGAAAGCTAAAAACGCGCAAGGCACCCTAGTCTGAGAGCTGAGACTGTACTGTACTCATCATTACCACCTGCACTTTAACCCCTTCCACTTCTGTTTCCCTTCGGCTTTTTACAATCCCATTTTAGTTATTTGTGTTGTGATGACCTGAACAATACTTTCTTAATCCCCGACTGAATTTTTATGGGATAACAATAAACTGTTCGCAGGTACCTACATTGCCAACAATAAGACTGCCTCCCCCCCACAGAGAACCATCTCAAGTCAGAAGAAACGGGTTCCTGTCCTTAGCACTAGTGGCTCGTCGCCACGGCCCTAGAGGAAATGGGACGGCTGGCTCCTGGTAGTAGGAGGACAACTTTGGGATTATGGCGTATGCGCAAGATGTATTAAGTGAAAACGTCGGAAGGTCGGATAAGGATAGGCGGAAACGGTGGTAGAATAATTAAGGACAACGTTTTTAAATTTCCAGAAACGAGCCAAGCAGGGGAAAAAGAACATTTCTCTGAGCGGAGTGTGGCTAGGAAATAGTTCCATTCCTTTCTTTTTCATAAAGAAAGAAAAGAAAAAGAAATAGAAATCACAAGCAAGTTTAGGTAAAGGAATAGAATTAAAAAAAAGAAAGGGATAAAAAGGGGCAAAACGAACCTAGACGAACAACCCAAGCGACCTAACCCGAACGACCTGGCCCGAACGAACCAGTCCAAACGAGACCCGATCCAAACTCTACGCACCCGCGCCCCCCGAGTCTGCCTCCTCCTCGTCGTCGTCGTCGTCGTCGTCATCGTCGTCGTCGTCGTCGTCATCGTCGTCGTCATCGTCATCGTCATTGTTATTACCCTCATCGTCGTCGTCGTTATCGTCGCCGCCGTCGGCCAAGCCCTAATTTCTTCGTCGCCGTCGTCGTCGGCCCGGCCCAGCCTAGCCCTAGATTCCTCACCGCCTACTTCTAGGTAGGGTATGCAAAGTCTCGGACGCTGACGTCCGTCTCTGCGAGTAGGGCGGGATCCTGCTCGCGGCCCGCGTTCTACGCGAGCAGCGGCGGCGCGGTGGTGGTGGTGGCTGCCTGCGGGGAGGGGGGCCGCAGTAGAGGAAGAAGAACCAGTAGTGCTGGTGGTGGCGGTGGTGATGGCCGTGGCCGTGGCCGTGGTGCCACTCACGTATCACGCTCGGAATCTCGTCCCTAAGAATCTCTCGGCCGAAGAAGGCGATATAAAGATGGAGAGCCATCGCCATAAACCCCATATAACAAATTATCGGACCCACGCTATGACTACCCCATGATTATTGAACTTAGCCCCTGAATCTAACATCGGTAAGCTGAATTTGCTGAAACATAACAAGGTTGAGGTCTAGGGCGATTAATTTGTATTCACTACCAATCTATAGCTACACCGTACAGCTTCCTCCACCAAAATGTTGTACTCCTGCACCCCCTTGCTCTTTGCAGGCCAATAGCAGTATCGTCGATTTGCGAGGGCTTGCGAACGGTGAACCGCCAGACTATGGCCGCGTACCCGTGCCTTTTCAACGTTCGCAAGCCCTCGCAAATCGACGATAGTTGTATGCGGCATCTTCGTTATTTCGTTGCACGAGGTATTTGACGCACAAGGCACCGCCCTCTGACAGTGGCTTCGGTCAGACTGAATCTTATCTATATGCTATCTAGGGTATCTCTCGGAAGCGATGTAGCATTATCCCCGACAGCTAAGGGCGACGTTTCTTGACCAATCTAGTAATCCTAATTATCACCCCTGTGCTGTCAAGATGACCTCTGTACTGTCAAGCTGATCTCTGTACTTTCATGCCGGCCTCTCTACTGTCATGCTGATTTCTCTCTGCTATCATGCTGACCGCTGCAGTGTCATGCTTCGACCGCTTCGCGTGAAATTGCATTTGCATTTTCAAATTAACATCATTCCTTTAGGAAATCGGAGAAGCTTTACAATCACCCTTAACCCCCCTGACATGGGCAGACTTACTCCGCCAACTTAACCACTTAGCCCTGTAGCGAGTTCTTCGCTACCTAGTAGGTAACATCTTATGACGGCGTACCTCAGGACTTATTGTTTAACTTTAGCAATATAGTAAGGTACCGCTCGGGGCTTGCGGCAGCGGGCCAGCTCGTTGGGACAAGCACCATGATGCGAGCTGTAGTCTAGCCCTTTATCTGCCGACTCGCTCGCTCATATCCACCAACTTCCCCGCCGTCTCCTTCCTCTTGGCCGTAGTCGGGCCCGGTAAACCTTTTGTAGCCTAAATTTAAGCTACTCTGAGCTACATCCGAGCCACATCCGAGTTGAACCTTAAGAAGGCCCGCTATGACGCTCACTTCTTACTCCTCTACGACACTCACTTCCTGCTACTTTTTAGTATAAAAGGGCCTTCTCTTCTTATATTCCTAAACCTTTTTGAACAGACAATTCAACAGCCTGTCAACTTCGATCACGTATTACGTGCAACACCTTTCGACCATGTCATCATGCCCGACCTTTCTTCCAGAATTCGCCTTTCCGCCGTCGAAAAAGTGCTGCTCGCGCCCATTGGTCCCGCGCCCATTGGTCCCGCGCCTATTGGTCCCGCGCCCATTGGTTCCGCGCCCATTGGTTCCGCGCCTATTGTTCCCGCCGTCATTGGTCTCGCGCCCATTGGGGCCGGCAAGACGTCCTGGATGCTTCAACTTCAAGGTAACACGCGTTTGTCTTCTCCACGATATCGCGTCCCACGTAGCTGATCATATTACAGCCCTCTGCGATGAGATGCAGTGTGCGGGGCCGTTCTCCCAACTCTATTCCGACCGCCGAGGTATGTTTATCTCTCGCGTGTACCGAAGCTGCATGAGTCGGACGGACATTGACGGTTTTGATGACCCCACTTAGGAGCCCGCACGGCCTGGACATGCCGTGTCCGGGTGGGAAAGTATGAGTGGGCGACCGACTACTGGTACGACGGGCAAAATTGGGACGCTGCCGAAGAGACCACGGCCGAAGTGGTCTTCCTTACCCTGCTCTGGGTTCGAGACCCCAAAGGCTCCAACCCTCCTCCGCGGGGACAGGGATATAGACAAATTGAGCCAAATTTGGGACAATTCATCCATCCTTTAGCACTGGGCCTTTGGCTGGACCACGCGATGGGAACGCGAAAATTACCCAATGACGATGGTCCTCGGACAGACGTTCCTGAGTCATCGACTCCCGAAGGAAGCCGGCCAAGTACCTGCGGAGCTCCCCCTGGCGCTGCGAAGGGGGTCGTATAGGCCGTCTGGTGCGCTCCCGAAGCCAGGTCAGCATCAGCCGGGACAGAAACTGGAGAGGCGTAGGGCTTCGAGGAAGCCGTGACAAGATATTAGTATGAGCGTGCGAGAGAGCGAAGAGAGGGAACCGGCTGTTCATGCCTCTAGTTTAGACACTTGCTATATTGTATTTGGAATGCGTCACCTAGCCTTGTTGCTGCCGGTTCATAGGTGACTAGGCGTCATGGCCTACGGGCGTCTTCTTGGCAAGATGTGAATCGCACCGTACGTGGGGATAACCGCCGGAATTGTACGTCCTGAGATATTGAAAGTGCTGTCTACAATGCAGTGAAGCGTGATATGAGGGGTCCCTATAGAATGGAGGTTGGGGGCCACGGCCTGAACCGTTGCGCGACACGGTCAGTCCGAGCCCGTCCGCTTCGCCCTTGCGCGAAAGGCGCAAGAAAAAGGCGCAAGAAAGATTCAAGGGGCCACCAATCTCTTCTCCTGGGTCACACCGCTAGCTCAGTCCAATATCACCACAACTGCACAAGCTGGGACCGTCCTCCCAAGGTTTTGTGCGTCTGACGAGCCATGTTGACCTTCCCCGCTTGCAATGGTCGTGTCCAGGAGCAGCGCCAACGCGCCACTTCGGCATGATATGCGCTGATGAGGTGCTGCCGCTGCTGCCTTGCATCTCCCCGCGAGGGACCGTACTTGCGGAATTGTGCTAGCGCGTCCGGGCATTCCCTTCAGAATCGTGCAACGACCTGGCCGGCCTCGACTGTTGTGTGTGAATTTAGTCTTTCTCCTCGCTAGCGCAGTGCCGTTGCTCTCCGACCGACCTGTAGAATCTTCCTCGGGCTGTTAGCCAAAACCGTGCCTAGCCAGCCTTGTGCATCCGCGAAGTGAACTGCGGACGTGGAAAAGTGGTGGCTAAGGCTGCGGAAAAGTGGTGGCTAAAGCTGCGTTCACTGAAGTCCTGTGAGAAGGAGTGCTCAGCCCATCATCCTCGGAGTCGTGAGACCAAGTTGGCAATTTGCAGCAGGAGAATAGATGACGTGGACCTGAACAGGCCTTCCAAGTCACGATTGCGAAAGGAGCTTGCAAAAGGAGCTTGCAAAAGGTTGGGGACTCTTCTGATTTCTACTGGCATCCATCATCCCACCGGTATTTACCCATCCCCCAGCCCCTCAAGCGTCAATATCGTCCCTCGGGTATGCGTGCGTGTTCGACCGACTCCTTCGTCTGTCGTGTACAGCGCGAGATGCCATTAGCCACAAGTTCGGCCAATGCAGAGCGTGCGAGCATCCCAGCAGGCCGGAGCCGTCTCGTCTTCTGGCCCAGGAAACGACAAGATTACGCGTGTCGTCGTTTGCGCCACCGTTTGTGCCGTCTGGCCCGTTGGCTCCGCCGTCATCATAGACTCTCCTCCCTCCCTCTCTCTCCGCCCTCCATCTCTCGCTGCCCTCCGTCTCTCGCCGCCTTCCACCTCTCGCCGCCTTCCACCTCTCGCCACCCTCCCACATGCTTGTGCTTGGCGGGACTGGTGCAGCAGAGGCTGTGGAATCGCAGCAAGAGGAGGAGAAGGCAGAGACTGGGGAGTTGCAGCAAGAGGAGGAGAAGGACGAGAGCAACAAGGCCGTGGAGCGACAAGAGGAATTGAGGAACCTTGTCGGCAGGTGCGCATGGCTCGGCCGTGACCTGTAAGATGGCGAGCGGGTGAAAGGTTGGTCACGAGATGCTAGAGGCGCCGTTTTGCAATCCGTCAGAGACTACGAAGACGCCAGGTGCGCCCAGGACTGTCAAGGCATAGTACGCAAAACGCCCCGTGAAAAAAGGGCACTTTTTTTGTGGGCTACAAGTTGGTATCGATGAAGCAACAAAGGGTAACAGACGCACTAGCACTCCTTTTCCCCGCCACTTCGCGCCCTTGTGGTCCAGCCACGGCCGCTCCGAGACGCCCAAGCAGCAAGACAAGTCCATGCAACCCCTTAGCCCACCTACACATTCACACGCTCCATCGGCGGCGCAATCGGCCGATCATTGTCAGAGCTGAGGTCTCTGTGGTGACGGAAGAGGCCTTCATCGGTCGGCAGGGGGGAAATAAAGGCCAAATGCGAATGCGGCAGGCAACAGGGGCAAACCGAGTGGACGGCAACGCGCTACAAGGCGATGAGGTGGGTGACCAAAGAACGGGGCGCTACAAGGCGATGAGGTGGTGACCAAAGAACGGGGAGAGGAGGAAGGGGGGAGGGCATTCAACAGATGTGCGACGGGCGGGTGCGCCGGCTGCAGTGCTACTTATGCGTCGCACCGCCGTTCTTGCCATCCTTACTCCCGTATAGCCAAAGAGGCGAGGTTTACGGACTCGGCAAGCAGTATTGCGTAATGGTCTGTTTTAATTCGCAATTTGTTTGTCTGCTGTTCTCGCTTCCTGGCACACCTGCGCAGTTGCTTGCATGTTCTATAACAGATAGCAGTGTACGGCTTTCATGGCATGCCTTGATCCTTCCGACAGTGAGTGAAATCCACCGAGCCACCCAGTAAAGCAACGATCAATACTAAAACAAGTCTTGTCTGGACGCTAACTTGGAAGCCTGCGGACACAAGAGCAGCCTAAAGCGATGATGATGCAAGCAAAATAAGGCCGGACACATGTACGGCGGCAGCAAGCTTCAAGGCGTTGTCGGTGTCGGCTAAAGGCCGACTCGACAGAGACGACGATGGGCGACACGACACACAACACACGACACACGGCACACGGTGCACCAGGCGTTTCCCCATCGAGTCATTGCATAATTAAAAACTTTATAAATAATAGTACCTACTAAGGCGGGTAGCTTCCCACTCCGTCCGTCCCATTCTGCCACCCCTTCCCTTTACACCTTGGCTTAGGACTGATGGCAAATGCTATAGGAAGAAAAAAAAGGACCAGTAGCCCTAGGTGCCGAGCTAGATCAGTATGCACGGAAACACGGTCCAATAGAGAGCTCCA